TGAACATAACTTTAGTGTTAGAATTATATATCTCACCTCCTAATTTTTATTATCCATAATGATACACTCACATCAAATGCTAAACTAGGCCTTCGCAAGTTAAAATATTAAAATTTAAAAATAACAATTTTGCAACGCATTGCACTGGAAATCAGACTCTGCCAACAATCAGAAAAGAAAGAAAAGCTTATTGATGCCTTTTCAGGGGAGCTGGAGCAGAGTGATTCAACTTTGCTTTTATACAGACTGGAATAATGGAAATAAAGGAAAGCGCTTTGAGGATGAGATAAATTGTAGGAATTTATGGAAAGTTGTGAAAATATGTTACTATAACCTGATTCCAGGTATCACTACCCTCTGCAGTTTGCATACAAACCAAATCTCGGAGTGTGTGATGGACCAAAAGAATAAAGAGCTTACTTCTATCTAGACAGTCATGTCTCCACGGTCATAACCACTTCTTTTTATTTCTCGAAAGCATTTCCCATTATTCGACCATTAACACAGAGAAAGAAGCTACAGGAAATATCAGTAAACACAATGATTGCTCAAGGACTACTGACTAGCTTACAGGTTGCAGGATGTGAGACTCAACAGTGCTGATTTGGTCATCTGCAGTTCTGGAGCTCCAATAGGACTATGCTGTCCAAATACCTGTTCACCTTTTACACCTCTGACTTTCAATCCGACTCCAGGTCTTACCACCTACAGAAATACTTGATGCTAAGAATTCTGTAGTGGTTGGAATGGTTTTTGCCAGCCAGTTAGTGAATGCACATTTTCCCTAGCAACATGAGTTTTCCAGGATCTCAGTGCAATAGAGATTTGATTATTTGATTTTTCAGAAAACAAGCTACCACAATGCCAGTGTGAACAGAAAGGCGTTAACTGAAAGAGCTGTCAAACCATAAAACACGGTCAAATCTGTTCAAAAGTTATTCTTAGAAAGCTGCTGGGTGCTCCCTTTACATTACTCATAGTCATTTGATCTGTTCTGGAGGAAACAAAAGCTGCTTACTTGGTTTTATCTATTAAGTTTGCTGCTCAAAGTGCTACAGATTTCAGTTTTCATTGCTGGAAAGGGATTTTGTTAAAAAAGACAGCAGTCAGTATTCTCAACACATTCTCAGATTCTAACTCTCCTACACTCAAGTTCTACACAGATGTTCCTACTCTGACTTCTCAGAGTTGCATGTCCTGGTCTTAAGCTTGGGTATTAATGTAAATGCCAAAATGAATCCCATTTATCTCAGCTGTACTGTGGTGGAGGCAAAAGCTTCTCTGAGATCAAAATTGTCAGAACATAAAACCATGAATGTGGAAAAAACATAATGAGGACTTTTTTTTTTCACATTTTCATGACTTGTTCCTTTAAAATGGGCACCATAACAACAAAATATGATACTGGGGAACTTGCACACATAATAAATATGTACACTTGCTTTAATTTAATGGACAAATGCACAACAAATGTCACAGGAATCTGAATATTCCTTTAAGGAAAGTGTTTTAAGCACTTCTGTTAAAATGTACAGACGGTTTCTCACAGTCAGCTTTTAAAGAAAGCATTTTAAATTGCATTTATTTCATTGCAGTGTGTAGTGACCCAGTGGAGTGGCTGTAGCTCAGGTGGTAGAGGAGGTCACCTACGCCAGCCTGCATGCCAAATATCCTTGGGCAAGATGCTATCCGATGGATGCTCTCTGATACAGCCATCAAATGTTAGATAGGAAGCGCTTATAGTACTTGTGTGAATGTACAAGTTGTGTAGAGTGCTCTCATATAGCAGAAAAGCTCTAAATAGGAACCAGTGCATTTGCAGACTCTGCTTTAGTTTCTGGGCAAACACTTAAATTGGTCACTTGTGCAAATCTATTCGTTTATAATACCATAAAGTCTCTGGTAGTGCTTTTGAAATGTCTTTCGGAGATGAATCACCGGCATTTTATTTTGGTCACAATACTGGTGAGTGCCAGAGCTGCAGGTTTTCAAGGATACACCAAACAATTTAAAGGATCTCTGGCGTGGAACAAGACAGCTCTGTGAAATTATCCCCAGCAAGCACCAGGCTTCTCATTAAAGCCTCAGGCTGAACACTATCAGCTGCTTTTATTTCATAAAGTGAAGACAGTGAGTAGCAGACAATGTGTCATGGCTCAGCTGAATATATGTACTGGTAAGCTATTCCACCAAATATCTTGACAACCGTGTATGGATTTCACACCACAGATGGACCTGACATCACACATTTTGAATATGATGGAAGCAACACAAAAAAGTAAGGACCAAGTGGTCCTAAAAGAAACATCTCGCAACTAATATGGCATGGTTTAGTAATTCTGTTATTTGGAAACAACTCAGTAATATTATTTCATATAAAAAGCACATCTTAGAGAGGCAGCTTCTCAGCAATTTCAAAATAATGTTCCTAAATGTAAAATTGTGAAAACTTATCTAATCTTCTACAATGCAGCATATCATCAATGCATTCTGAGAATCTGGAGAAATCTCGGGGCGTAAGAGAAAAGGATGAAAGTCCACATTGGATGCTTGTGACTTTCAGGTGCTCAGACGACACCTTCTAAAAAAGGGTGTGATTCTTTCATGGAAGTCGCTGCATGGCCTCACGAAACACTTCCAGACATTACTGTCAGTGAAAACAGGTCACTGTGCCATCCACAAATGCAAGTTAAAGCTTTGTCTTCAAGCCACCTTCTCTGGGCTAAGGATCATTTAAAACAGACTGAGGCAAAGTGAAAAATGTGACTTTTTAAATTCTTTTTAGAAAACATGGACACCACATCCTTCAGAATAAAGAGCATCCAGCTTGTTATCAGCACTCAGTCCAAAATGCTAAACCATATACTGCATCTATGACAACAGCAGAGGCTCTGTGGTGAAAGAGTGGGTACTGAAGTGTCCTGCCTTCACACCACTTCATTTCTTGCCCTCAAGAAATGTGGACAGTGTGTGGCAGTGGGGATCTGATTCAAACCTCTTGGTTTTTAACATTTGTTACTGTTAGAGAGCTGCCTGGTAGGACTCCAGCGTTTAAATATCAAACAACTGGCTAAAATGGATCTCCTCATAGACGTGAATGAAACTGAGAGGTGGTTACACTTGAGCAGATGAGCTGTTCTACTTGTTGCACCACTTTCTGATATCATGAATCTCATTATGTCGCCTTTGGGGATTTTCTTGTCTCAGTGTTGTGTGTGCCAAATTTTGTTTTTTGAATTTCTTATTGCTTTTGCCTGGATGGCATATCTGTTTGAAGCTGGTGTGAAATGTTTAGAGATTTCTTAGATTGCGGTTCACTGGCTGGACTTTTAGGTTCTGATTCCATGCCTACAGGGAACAGAAGGCTGTGTTTTGCTTCACTGTGGCACTGGAATGAAACTGTTTCCAAAGATTGCTACAATGCAAAGCTTGAAGGATATGCATATAAAGAGATTCTTTTACAGCTTGAAAAATACTTTGTACTGGAGCTGCAGAGTTGTGCTCCAGCAACAGACAGATTTTTCAAAGTCAAACTCATTTCTATTTGATGTAACCAAGTAGAATATGGCCACTGAGCTGTCAGATCTTTATACATGCCTCGAAATCACCTAGTCTGACTGGTACACTAGATAGCTACAACAGAATGCTTAATAATGTTCTCAGCAGGCATTAGTTTGATGCATGTGAGTCACAGAGCTGATTAGTTACAGCAGAAGTATCATTCAGCTCAATGTTTCTGTGACAACTCTATTAAAGCTCCAGCTTTGAGTACGCAGGACACACCACAGGCCTTGTATCAGAACTGACGGACAGAGTCAACATTCATAATGGCAATGTAAGAAAAAGACACTTGTCTGGAGAGTAAATGAGCAGCAGCACAGCATGCTGCTCAACTTGCTGAATAGAGAATGAAGGAAAAATGAGGCAGCACACTGCTGACAAGACTGGCAAGCGAAGGCAAGTCGGAGTAGCTCCAGAGAGCAGATTAATGCCTGGATGTAGAGCTTATGTTGGCCAATTTAGCTTCAGTACTTTCTGTAAAGGAGCTTCCACCTTCGACAATTATTTTCAGTAAGTGCTAACGTCTCAGCCACTACACATGTAGCAGGATGCTGCGTGTGTAGCTAATACGTCACGTTTACATATTGTAGGTTGCCACAAGTGCACAGTAATGAACAGAGGTGCTTTTAGACAAACAGCAATGTCATACAGGCCTAGACACACCGATGTTTTCTGAATAGTTGCTGGTAGTCGTCGTGAATGTATGCCTTCAAAGTAAAACTTGTGCCTTGCTACAGCACCAAACACCTTTCAACCTTTACTTTGAAGATGAATGGTCTCGTTTTCCAATTTTCATCATACCTTTCAGTTTCCCTACTGCTCTCGAAGCAGCAGACTTCCATGTCTTCCATGTAATGGACATTTTCTGTGCTGGGCAACTACCAACCACTCACAAACCAGTCAGAGAATGCACCTCGCCTCAGTGAGCTGTGCTTGCTGACCAGTCTGTAGCCAAAGCCAATGAGGAAATGAAGAAAAGACTCGACACTGACAACTTCAGGCCGAAGAATTAAAGCAAGACCACATTTATTCAGGGATTTTCCTCTCACACAGAGTGACGTCTTGTCTGTAGCAACTGTGTTGCTGTTATTCTGCCATCATGTGTAATCTCTTATGTATTATAGTTTTACCATCCGTTGTGAAGTACGTTCATCTGTATTTGTCATTGCCGAACGCTGCCAATACCACCCCTTTACATGTATTGAAAACCCTGGGTTATCACTGATAACCAATGTTACCCTAGCAATTAGGATGACTGCAAGTGAATCTAGATATGCAAATATGCAGAGCCCAGGCATATAATACAGGACATGTCCGGTATGACTAAGACAAAAAATATAATCAAGTGATCTTGAAGTCAATCATAAGGAGAAATACAACAACAAAAGTAGAAATATGAATGAATGAGTTTAATTCACCCAGATTTATAAATTAGAAACAAAACTAAAAAAAAAGAAAAAAAAGAGCAAGTTTGGAAGTAGTAACAAACACTGTAGAGCACATCTATAACAAGGTAGAAAAGTACACAATTCTCACTTCACTTTCAGGCTTCAACACAGCTCTGGTAAGACTCAATGTTTCAGTGCAGCACATAAACAGAGCATTGTAGAAAACTAGGTTTTGTAAACATCCATGATGATGATCAAGATTAATAGAAGGAAATGTAACAAAACAGAAGTACAACAGAAACAAGATCTTAATATATTAAAATTTGTGCTTCTGTTAACCACAATCACGACAACACTGGATCAACAGGTAAATAATACAGTCAAGGAAGCACTCTTTAAATTTAATAAAATACCCTCCACTGTAATAACTTACATACATTCATTAACTCCATTGGTCATTTGACAGTCTGTTGAATTGCTAAGGAGTAGTTACAGAACCAAACTGAAACATACATCGACTCTTCAGGACACTGTTAGATTACAATAAATGTCTGAACATAACTTTCGCTGAAACAAGCTTTAATGAGGTTTGGGATCAGCAAAAAAAAAAAAATATATATATATATTTTATTTTTTATTACAGGCATTAATGAAATACTTAACACTATGGAGCTGACAGGAATACATGGCTCACAGTCAGATAAGAAAAATGACTGAATTCCCTCAGTTTGGAATAAGTTAGTTCAAGAAGGCATGTTTACCTCAAGAGCTCACGCTACAGTCTAGTAAGATGTGCTTACTGAAACAGCAGCAGCTTCAACAACATACACACTTTGAGGTGTCCAAGTTTGTTTTGTTCCTATTCTGACCACTACTAGTTTGAGACAATTACAAAGTCTCCCCCAACAAAAGCAGGAAGTGACCGCCGTCCACAGCCTTCTGGTGGATCGTCTCAGCAGTTCGCCTTTGGTTCAGGATATTCAAAGCCTGCAGCAGGTCATTTAAGCTCGCTCCTTTACCTTCTTTCTCCACCCAAATATGCAGCAGTTCATGGATCCTGTCTTCATAGGGAAGGTTCTCTTTGCTTTTGATGACATTGTCACTAATTTCAAGCTGACGGAAAAACCTCTTGTGATAGTTCACATCTAGTTCTTCAAAATATTCAAAGCACTTCCTGAGAGACTCTTCACCTGCAAAAAACAAACAACAACCTTCACTCCATCACATTAACGCCTTGTGCTGATAACACTGATAAACATTTTGACAGCCAACTGGACTGCAATTAAAAGCAGCGTGGTGGCATGAAATGGAAGCTTTATCTAATGTTGTGTTTAACAGCAGGTGCTTGTGTGTTATGCAGTGGGTGAGATCAGGAATAAAAGTCAAAATACTTTACCATTCACAGGAACAAGCTTGGGAAGTGGCACCTCTTCCTAAATGAAACAAAAGCAAACAGGCATTAACATATAAAAAGTCAGAAATTGTAAGACCTGCTAAATCAAAAGCATGTCTTATTTATAAGCAGGTGAATGAAATGAAAGGAAAAGCATTTATCTAAAAGATCTTACACAATACAGTGATGCATTTTCCTGTCAGTGCGGATGGAAAATGAAAGGAGACACGAGATAGCGAGACTGATAAGGAGCATTCCCTGTTAATCTTCAGGTGTTTTAAGGACCAGGTGACTCATTAAGTTTCCACTAACACAATAACAGCAGCCTGAGACACTGAAGATCAAATGTTAAAGGTAATTCTTAAACCGAGAGTCACAGGATTCTTATACGGCTCCTGATTGTTGAGAGAATTTGCTCCAACATACTGGAGTGCAGTACGGAAGAAGCAAGTCACTGAGGTTTATCCATGACTGCAGACCTGTCCCTCTGCAACTGGGAGCAGGTAGGATTCTGAGGCTCTTTCTGTCATGTAAGGAGTTGTGTGTAGCATGAAAATCAAAGTGGGTAAACTGGAACATGAGGACAGACAGTAAGACAGCGGAGGCTGTTAGAGCAGCAGAGCATTAGTTAATAGCAGCAAACAAGACAAGAAGCAAGGATGAAGCAGGCGATGAGATGAGCTGCAGCTCTCACCCTCCTGCGAAGCTGCGCTGAAACCACAGGGCTGGCTTGAGGGGCAGGTGTGAGCACGTCTGTTAGGCTGTGCTGGGAGTTACTGGCTGAGCTGTTGAGGCTTGGACTGAGAATTTGACGCTCATCCTCAGCAATGTTGGGGGATTTAACTCTCACCAGATGCTGGGACAGGATTAGATTTGTGCTGGTTGGTCTTTGAGTGTCCTTATCCTCAGGAGTCTGGATGGCAGTGTATTGCTGAAGAACATGTTAAGAGAGTCTCTGTCATTTAAGTTACCTTGGGAAAGCCATTTCCATTCAGCTCATCGCCATGTTTGGCTATTTTTGTACATTAATGGAAAACATGAGTCACTCACCTGTTCTGCTTTGCTCCTGTCAGACCGATTTCTCTGAGAGCCTGAGGAAAGAATGTGAAGAGAATTATGCAACTTCCAAGAATTCACAACTTTCCAACACAAAGTTATTTAATTTTTGTCTGAGCTCAAATTTCATCAACTGAGCAGAACCTGCTGCTGCTCTGCATCAGTTCTAGCAGTGTGCAGCCTCTCCTGGACACTGTGTGTCACTGAGGATTTTCATCAGTCGGCCGGAAAGCCTGCCCAGCAGTTCCAGTTTGTGTTGGACCCGGCCCAGTTTACCAGCAGCATGGTCAACAGCACAAACTGGGAAAAGCATCTTCACGTGGCTCAGTCCAATTGGAAAAGTACTTTAGTGAACTCGCCAACAGCAGCCCACCTCTATGCGAGGCCTGCATGGTAATGATATACACCCCAACAGACTGCGGTTAACATGTTTGCTGAGAGGGCGTACTTGATAATTAGGCTTTAATCAGTTACACCTGATCCCAACATAGTCAGCATGTTGTGTTAGCAGCTCATCTGCTGCTCTTAGATCATCACACCTGAAACTGCACGTCCATTGTAAGGTTTCTGCACACATGTATATCCTCTATCACGCCGTCTGGTGTCTCAACTTCTACTTAATAGCTTTTCAGTCTTTCACTGTTCCACATGTGATGAACAGTCCCACAATTATCCAGAACTGTTAATTTTCTTACCATGTTTTACTCATTTCATGTGCCATTTGAAAATCTCTCATCTGCTCTAAACAGTCTGATTACAGGAGAGTTTGGCCTTGTGCAGTCAAAATATCCCATCCTGTGAGAAGCTCTTATCTTGCTCTCAAAGATGGCATACGGACAGCATTGTGGGAAAATGCGTCATTGATAAGACTTTACTAACAGGGTTCCCAAAACAATGCTGTGAAGGTCAGAGAGGGAATCCAGAAATGTTGAGTGGAACTTTATTTTCAGTCATTCGGTTGCAGGTGTGTCTCAGCATTTATTAGCGTATGCTTATGTGTCAGACTGACTGCAGAGGCCAGCGGGCTCAAGATCTGTGTTAATGAGAGCCAGGCCTCAACAAGTGCATGAAAATATTGTGGCAGCATCAATTTAATATCAGCAGTTCATCTGTTTGTGGTGTGAAGAAAAACAAAGTACAAGTCCTTCCCACAGCATTGACACCTGTCAGAGCAATAACACTGCAAAGCTGTATCACTACACACACAAGACCAAAATTTTAAACAGTTCGAGCATCTGCTTTAAGTGCTTGGACCCTACAACACTGCTCCTGCTGACAGCGATCAGAGCTGAAATAACAAGTGGATTTGTTTAAGAGTGATCAGGAACCATCTAGACAATAGGTTGAAATGAATATTTTTCAAGCAAAAAACAAAAAAACAAAAAACCACACACACACACACACACACACACACACACACACACACACACACACACACACACACACACACACAAAAAAAAAACCCAAAACACAGCAACCCACCCCTACATTTTGATGATTTGCTGCTCTATGTCATGCCCCAAGACCACACCTGGCCGGGTTGGTGACTTCTGTGACACCAGGAATGTGGAGGTGGAGCATTTAGTTTACATTGGGGCATTTGTAAAATTGATGTCTATACTGTTCTGGACAGCTTAAAAATCATCAGGCCTTCACTTCAGCAATGCTGAGCAGATAATACTTCTGATACAGCTGGTCAAAAGCATTTTCTTGAGTGGACACGGCCAGCTGCAGTGGCCACCAGAACATCACACAACTGTGTAGTTGCCACACGTTCAGACGAGCAGCAGAAGCATTAGCTCCAGTCACAGAAGTACTAACCCTACTACAAAAGATACAAACTATGGCATGTGTATCTTTATCGTTTAGGTTTGTTTACCCCATTATAATGCGAAAACTATCCATCCTCCCCAGCTAACACAGACAAAATGTGAAGGACTCAATGAACAGGTCGCCAGCCTATCAGAGCACTAACAAACTTTTGCATCAAGGTGATTTTAATATTAGGATCCAACATCTGTATAAGAACAACGTACCCATTTTACGTCTCCTCTTGTAGAAAAATATCCCAGCAAATGTTATGGCAGCGAGGACACACAGCACCACCACAACCACCACAGTGATACCTGTTTAAGAAAAACAAAACAAAAAAACATAAGAGACAGTCATTGGCCATTTACAGACACCCCCCAAAGAGATTCATGGCTTGAATGAATGTACAGTGCGAGTGAATCTCTGATATCCTTTGTTTCTGGCCTGGAAAATCTGACTTTGTAAATATACATTTATCCCAGTGTAACAAAAAGTCTTGCATGCATCTGCCAGAGTAGTGTACCTGGATCAGAGCCAGATTTGTTCTGGATCTTCTTGCACTCCGTGTTGGAGGTTGATGTGCAGTTCCTCACTTTCTCTTCATCCTCTGCACACCTAGTTAGGAGAGAAGCAAAATAAATCGAAAGGTTCAGAAAGAATCAGTCTTCTTCCCGCTGCTCCCTTTAGGAGTCACCAGAGTGGACAATCTGCATCTAGCATCGTCTTCTGTCACACTAACCCTCTTCCTCTTTTCCTCCTGCCTGGCAGCTTCACATTCAACACCCACTATATCCACTCCCTCCTTATACTTGTGTCTTTACTGATTTTGAATAATTTGCAGACACTTACCGTGAACACTTCAAGCACACCTCACATGCTTGGTTAGGATCACAAAATCTCCCTGGTTTGCACTGACATTTAGTGTCTTCAGTGTGAGTGCATGAGCTTACAATTTCCTCATCTGAGAGAGTAACATGAAAGAGACCTTGTTTAGTCAGAGTTTATGCTCTGAGCACGCCGACTACAAGAACAATCAATAGTGAACCTTTTCATTCTGATCGATGGTATAAAGCCGTCAAGCAGAATTACCTGGGCGACACCGTGTGCACTTCAAGCAGAACTTCAGTCGGTTGTCATGCTTCATGTATGTATCGTAGTCACACTCCTCACACTGCCCCCTCTCTCCATCTACACTGCAGGGTGATTTCACATATGTGCCTAGAGCACACACACACACACACACACACTTTATAAGTCTCCGTCAACTGAACATGTGACTCTACCTAAATAAGGCCATTTCATGTGGCTTTTGATGGCTTACTGGTTTGAAATTATTACAGAAGTTCAGTTTCATGAGACTTACCAGCTTTACAATTCAAACAACAGAGGTTGCCGTGTTCGTACTGATCTGCCGGGCAGTTGGCCTGCCGCCGTGCTCTGCCGTTTCCCACTTTAAGACCAGCCTGTGGGTATGCTGTGGTGGATTTGAGGAGAACGACCAGGACAGGCACAAAAACCTTTGGATTTGGATGTGGGGTTTAAAAAAACAACCAAAAAAAACAAATAAATGGAAGTCAGAGTGGTGAATAAACAGGTTTTTTTTTTAAAAAGAGTCCCTAAACAGGCAGGTGGGGTGATGTTTGGTTACATTAAGGTGCTAAAACTAGTTATGATCAGACAAGAATGGGAAACTGGGATAAAACATGGTGACTTATGAGCAAAAACCTGCTTCGTTATAGTCATGAAACTACCTTAAGTAAAAATATGAAGTGCACCGCTTTCATCTTTTTTTTCCATGTTTTGACTTAAGAGATTCCAAATTGATTATATTAAAGAACTCATTTTATGGGTTTTACAGAAACATAATCTCTGATTATATGTTTTGGCTAACTGAAAACATTTTCACTACAAACATAAGTATATAAGCCATTATTCTTTGGAAGCTTTCTTGTATGATGATGTGAGTCAGATTAGGTCACATTTAAGAACACGCCACTTCACTCTGAAAGCAAATAAACAAGTCAGTGCTGCACAGGTGGTTGGGGGAGAAGGGGATTTCCTTCCAACACTCCTTGAACTAAGCCTGGTGGATTCAGTATTAAGAAAGTGTACCAAAGTATCCGAGCTGATTTATTACTTCTTAATATTGAGCAACAGGTTTTAAATAACAGGAAACGTGATCCACAAACAGTGTGTCCTAATATGGCCAACACTTTGCAGGAATAACCAAATAAGGAAATCACACCCATGATTTCGTAACACCATCAGGTGCCCTAGTTACTGTGAGGGCATCTCCCAGGAGGCATGGAGAGACAGACAAACACTCACCTGTGTGTGAAAGTACCAGTTATAAGAATTTTAATCCCCCTGCCTTCACTAGAAAGTAGAAATGGCGTGCTTAAGTATATTTAATAGTACTTTGGAAAGGAAAAAAAAAACTAAAGAGACCTTGTTTATACACAAAGACATACAGAAGAGTTTAATTTTTTTTTTTAAGAAAAAGTTTATATTTCCAATACCTGTTTCTACTGGGTGTCCGACTCTATAAAGTAGCACTTTATGTCGATGGAAGTGATCTCTGCCGTAATGCAAACCATCATTTCCCTCGCTTTATGCACATAATCAAACATATTAGAAAATATTGAATCAAAATAAAACTTTTAGGCAGCTCAAAATCAAGCCGAAAGCTATACAAAAGGCTCAAACAATAAGGCCAGGCCATTTTTATCCGGAGTTTACCAATAGGATCTTTGCGAAAATTAAAGACATTTAAAATGCACACGCTCTTAAAGTTAGGCGCAACATAGCGCCTAACTTTCCTGTGTACCACAGGAAAACACGCGCTGTGGAGTAACGTGTATTCTTTTTATTCAGTGATCAGTCGCCGATGACAGTCAACCACAAACTGTCGACTAGTTTCAGTGCAGTGTCTCAGGTGGGGAAAACAGAAATAAAGTGACTTTTTGGTGAGCCCACGAGGAATTTCACACCTGAGTTCACACAGCGCCTTGTGACACTTTCGACACATAAATGCGACATCTTGCGCAAACCAGTAAACCGGAAAATTGCCAGAGGTCTCTCATTTTTATTTACAGTCAACGGGAGGCTAAACTTTGGTTCGACAACCCCTGACAATTCTAGTCACTTCGGTCCTCAATAAACAAATCAAAACAACAACAAAAAATCCTTAAAAGTTTACATAATTAACTTTTTATTAAGTTAATAGCTTAACATAAATATTAGAATCGCCCGCGGTTGTCGCGAAACATTAAAAGCACTGTTATTACTTTGAAGGATCTCCATTTTTAAAAATGAGTCACAAGGAAGCTGTTTACAGAAACTTCACGCTGACTGACTGACGCCGGTACAACACCGGTCCGTGAAACCACAGCAAGCTTTGTAGATGTTTAAAAAGACAACATGACTTACCACAAACATAGGAACGTGCTTCATCTTCTACTAAAAATGTCGGCCTCCACAGACTTCCAATTATTCCACGGTAACTCAGAGCAAATCGATTTAGATTTACCACCGTAGCGTCCTGTTGGCTACTGTCTCAAAAGTTTAACTCAGGTGTGAGACGGCTCTGAATTAATGACGTAGCTGACAGGCGGGGCCAAAGTACAAAGCAGCCCAGTCTCAGCTCACAAACAGGAGGCGAAAAAAACAGCCCCACTGATAAAGTCAGTCTTTACTCCAAGTGGCCTATATGGCACAAGAAGTAATGATAATAAAATATGTGTATTTTTTTATTAATATAATTTAAATCATCTTCAGCTGCAACGTTATCAATGATTATCAATAATTATTAGCGAGCATTGTAGATGATGTAGAAGATTTTGTACTGACCCCCAGCTGACGTCACCTGTGCCATCTTAGTGCTAAGTTTCTGGAAGAGCAGCTGGCTGTTTAGGTTCAGAGTAAGGCTGGGTTTAAAACGGTGGCGTTAAAACGCCCTGTGGACAAACGTCTCCCCGTCGGCTGCTCAGAACAAATATTGACCAGAGTGTTTCACAGACGATAAGGCGCCTATTTAAATTAAAAAACACAATTCAGTCTCATTAGGCCCCGGGGATGGAAAAACAAAAAACACAAAAACCCAAGACATAACACTGGACTTTTTCCTCAAGCTATGACGGTTATTACAATTTCGCATATTTGGGATATTAACCCCGCCCCTCCTCTTTTCTTGGTCTTCTTTTTCTTCTTTTTAAGCTATAAATTCATTTAAATGAAATTATTAAAATGTAACGTGGTTGCAAGCAGACACTGCTTTCATGTAAGAGGCCTTATGACTGATTACTGAGAATACTGATTTAATATATGGTGAAATTATTCTATTAGAATCAGAATCAGAATCAGAATACTTTATTGATCCCTGGGGGAAATTATTCCTGGGGAAACTATTAAAGAGTGCTTTTAATCTCAGCCTCTGTTATATATTTTGTTAAGGAATATTTTTTGAATGTAGTAGTATAAAATAACACGCAATGGCAAATTATTATCAGTACAACTTCAAAAATGCTGTACTTTTGCTCAGGGGTTAAGCAAACATAGTTTGCCATCTCTGGGTGTGAAGATTTATACTGAAAACAGTTTTAAAGTTAAGGTGAGAAAATGAACAAACAAAAACAGTTGCAGGCTGAGTAAATCATGACTAAACTCACAAATACTGCACATGATTCACATGAGGAAACACAAGTGTAGTTTTGTGGCTACAGCTTATCACATTGGTAACATACGTGGTGCCAAAGCTACAGAGAAATGAGATAAAATGAGCTGCCTGAATCCTGAAAACGATATGTAATTTTTTTTACAGTAATATTAGAGGTATAGGTGATGAACAGTTTGTAGAATGTAAAATGTAAGATAATGTCTAAGCCTACAGTGGGATGCAGTGCTTTTATCTGAAAGATCTGAGTGTGTGAAGCTCTAAACAGAAACATTTGCTTCTCTTATACCAAACCGAGCTTTTCCCTATTTTAAACATAAAATTTATGCAAATAAAATCAGATATGTTGGATCTGACCTGGTGTATGATCGCTTTCACTCTGAATGAGCTCAGCATTCAAACATTCAAATTGCTGCTGTATTGCAAAGTGAATAACAGTTCCAAGAGGTGCCTCTCTCGCCTTTTAGCCCCTCACGGGATAATGGGGGAAAACAGACTATTGTACAAACGCTTTCATCACAAACTGCATGAAGTCAGCCATCACCACAGTGTTTAGCAAACCTCATGCTTGGGAGTGCCAGTTTAGCATTATCTAATGAGCAGTTGTCTGCAGCGCGCAGATATGCAGGCCGACAGGAAGCAGTGGGCTGTGGATGCGGAGAGGAATAAAACCTCCGTTTCAGTCTGTTGATTGCGATGCTCTGAGATGGAGCTGAAATGGTCTCACAGTTTTAGGCAGTCGGGGCTGTTTCTAGGCTCAGAGATTGGGTGACTGATGGCTTCACAGGCTGCCAGGCACACTGAGAAATAGAGACCAGTCACTCAACAAGTTTCCTGCGCATTGCAGCTCATCAACGTCTTATTCCTCCACCTTTGTAGTACAACACTACATTTCTGGTTTTACCTATTTTATTTGCCCAATCATTCAGAGTCTGTTCCATTTCTGAATTTCTGCACCGTTTCCCCTCACGCTGCTGCAAACTTGTGTTTTTTGATGATAAGGCCCGGGAGGTGGCTGGAATCTCTGAGCCACATTTTCCGAGATAAGACATGAATTTTGCATTCAGACAGACCGTACAGGGTTCTGCTCATCGGCCGGGCCGAGGTCGAGATCAATTCTAATGATATGGAAAAAATATATATATACTTTTCTTCTGTTACAGAGCCTATGTGTATACTGAGAGGGAGGTTTTGCTGTAGGGATTAAGGGGATCTTTCTGACACACAGTGCAAGAGGAGATAGTGAACTGAAGACCTACATGAACTTGCTTATTCATAGAGGAATTAGACAAAGCTTATCCAAAGACAGAGTGAACCTGCACACTGGTGAATAAGCAAAAGAAGTGCAACTAGAAGTTTTTAAATGTTAAAATTCCAACATTAGGTTTGAAGACTGACAAGAAATTGATTGAATAAAGGATGATCTTTTATGCAAATAATGGATACAGATAATGGGTACATATATTCCTGAAAAATGTTGCATTTTAATTTGTTTCTAATCTCTAGCAGCTTGTGTGGATGTTTAGTTCACAAATTTATTCTGCGATGGAAGTTCAGAGGAAAGCAAGTCTTCCCTTTCAGTTATGCCCCGTCGATGCTTGCACAGTTACATGCTGTCCAGTACAATAGATCTATTGGCACTGAGCAGCTCCACTGGAGCAGCTCAGAGTTAAGGGTCTAACTTGGGGGCACCAAAGTGGTGGTTAGGAAAGATGGGAAAGCACTGCTCTTTATTTTCGCCACAATGGAAGGGAGGTAAAGGTGTTCATATAGAGGTAAATGGCCATGGCCATAGTGTGGGTATAAGAACAACATTGGAAAGGTGGCCAGATTCAGAGGGACATGAGCTTCACGAGAGCACTAACAATATCCACTCTAGTGTGATTGTAGAGTACCCAGACTGGGTCAGATGTGAATGGCAGCAGCAGAAGGTTGACCAGTGACATTACCTAATAAAGGGAGACATGACACTCACTAAGGGGAAATCAAAGTTACATCAGGAACTGACTCTGAGCCCCTTCTTGTTCACAGTAGTGATGGACAGATTGACAGATGGGATCAGACATGAGTCTCTGTGGACTACGATGCTGCTGACATTGTGATCTGTAGTGAGAGTAGGGAGCAGGTGAAAGAGAATCTGGACAGGTGGAGGTATGCACTGGAGCGAAGATTAATGACATTCAACAGAAGCAAGACAGAATACGTGTGTGAATGAGAGAAAGACAGGTGGAGTAAAGATAGTGAAGGTAGATGAGTTTTAATACCCGGGGTCAACCGTCCAAAGCAACAGACAGTGCACAAGAGAGGTGAAGGAGAGTGCAAGCAGGGTGGAGTGGGGGGAGACGAGTATCAAGGATGATTTGTGACAGAAGGATAGCAGCAGGAATGGAAAGAAAGGTAGATGGCACTGAGACATGCCATGGTGTATGGTTTGCATATGGTTACACTGACAAAAAGACAGGAGGTGAAGCTGGAGGTGGAAAAGTTGAACATGTTGAGTGTATCAGAGGGACAGAGTGTGATGGAGGGAGATGATCCACTGTGGCGACCCTCTAAATGAGCAACTGTTCTCATTAGATTTGACAGGTAATTCCATACATGCAGTTCTTATGTGACTTTAGATTATATTTCAAAATGACTGCCCAAATTGTTACTTGGTGGCAAGACTTACTTCCAGATGGACTTTGGTCAGAGCCACTGGTGTACATGGCCTAAAAGCGTATTTTATTTAGTTTGCACTATGATTCAGCCAGTTACTAGGAGAAGTCTATTCATGGCTTTGTTCCCGCATGGCTCAAGGTCTCCATCTGGAACTTCTGTCAGCGCACAAGTTCCCCTCTGTTGACGGCATCACATGCATGTGTGCTGTATTAATGTGGGGTAAGACACATATGGTGTTTCAATCTAAAAAAAACCAAACACCTTCAGGGATACCATTGCTGGAACATATTCATGGTGTTGCAAGTAAGAGACTTGATTCGATAGTTGCAGAAACTATCCATGTTCAACATGTGACTAAAATCCAACCTAACCCCAACTCTAACCCTAAGTTAAGAGGTTAACATTCATAATAATCTAAAAGCCTCAGGATGCTTCATGGTAGACACTATAGGCTAAATAAGTTGCAATCTTGAACTAGTATACAGATATAGCATTTTTAAAAAGCAAACACAAAAGTGAATCCCTGTGAGGTCCAAGTCATCGCTGATGCAGATGCTAATCATAACCCATAACCCTGTGTTTCACAGTCTTGGCAATCAGGTGACAAAGAATTTGATCATTCTAAATGAGACACACCAAAACTGTTTTCCATTACTGGTGGCTGTGGCTCAGGTCGTAGAGCAGCTCAGCTACTGATCAGGAGGTTGGTGGTTCAATTCCCCCAGTCTGCATGCCAAATATCCTTGAGCAAGGTACTAACCCCAAATTGCCCTCCAATGTGTTCATCGGAGTGTGAATGTTTATTAGTTGCACTTGAGTTTAGAAGTGAATGAGGCATGTTGTTGTTGCTTTGAGTGGGAGAGTAGAAAAGCGCTATATAAGAATCAGTCCATTTACCTTCCAATAAATCTTTACTCTAAATTAGAGTTACAGTTTGAGGCAGGGTTAAGATGGCCTCAAAGTGGTAACACATGTGCTATATTTCCACAGGCAGTATTTCATAATAAGCTATGCTGATGGCTGCCTAGGACTGGGCCCATTCATCTCTATGCTGAGCTCACCAGTGGGTTTGTCTATTGACATAAATGACAATAACCTAGCTGGCCACAATGCTAATGTTAGCAGTTAGAGCAGGATTGCACAATTCAGTGGGCCAATTGCCTCACAGCCAAGAGCAGGAGAAGCAATCAATGCTCTTATGAATGTTTTGTTAGTCTTACTGATTCACTTAGAGACATTTGAACTTACTTATCTGTTCCGCCACATTTTACACAGTTTGCATGAAAGGGTGTTTCATCATGCCTCACTTAATCAGACTAGCAGTACAACAATCTTTT